AGATATGCTGAGCAAGTTCGGCCCTTTGGATTTTCTGACTCCAACTCCTTGCACATTTCATTGTAATATTTTACTTTGTCATCCCGTGCTGCCTTTTGAAATCTTCTATTCAACTCTTTAGTATCTTGAATTCTTACTTGTGCTTTGGCTTCTCTGTGCTCCAGTGCAATTTTCAGAGTCTCTTCTGACATCCATTTTGGTCTTCACTTCCTCTTCTGTCCTACCTCTCAAATGACCCTCTCACAGTGCCTTGGGCTTCGTTGTCCAGTGAGTGTCTCAGCTCATCTGCCACCCACTGTCCCCATCTTCTCCCTTCTCCACATGTACAGCCTGTCCCAGTGCAGCAGCATCTCCTTCTAGAAAACATCTTTCACAGTTGCCTGGATATTTTCTCTTTGTGGAATTTCTGTCACAGGGTTAGCTCCTAACTGAAAGGTTGTCTGCCCAGAAATATCTTGAAAGAAAGTCTTGGCAACTTTCTTTTGAAAGAAAATATTCCTGAAAGCCTCACAGAAGACTTCTACTCTGACACAAAGGGTTGCCGAGAGTTGGAGTTAAGGCTATAGTAAATTTCTTATGTTTGGATTAGTTTTTCAACCTTTTCCTCTGAATGAGCCTCAAATAATGAGGTAGGAGTTCAGGAGTAGAGGAGATTATAGAACAAGGCTGGCTGCAAGCATCTGGAGCTGGGTCTGGTAACTCAAAGCTTTTTTCAGATCACTTCCAACCTGCGGAGACTACTTGGTGACAAAAATTTGGTGTCCTCATCCTCAGAGCAGCTTTAGGGGGTTTTCCCCCTCTTTTTCTAATCAATTTTAATGAAAGTTTACAGAGACTTTGGATTTCCACTCATTCATTGTTGCACTTTTCTCCCTGCCCAACCTCCCCACCTCCCAGTTAACTCTTCTCTTTGAAAAGTAAAAAATTCTTTCATTGTTATACAATCCTTCCCCCCAAGTCCACTCCACTATGCAGCCTTCATTCTGGACTCCCATCATGACAATCATATATCCCTTTTAAACTGTTCTCAGCGCAGCTTGTGATTGGTGCCTTCCAGTTATCTCTGACTCAAAGTGACCCCATAAACAACAGATTGAAATCTTGCCCAATCCTGTGCCATCCTCACTGTGTACAAGCCCGTTGCAGTCACTGCTCTGCCTCACTGATAGATTCTCCATCAACCTTTCCAAGCATGTTGTGCCTTTGCAAAGACTGGCCCCTCTTGATAACATCCCTAAAGAATGTACCAATTCTTTCCTTCTGAGGATTACTCTGGCTATATCTTTCAGTACCTATCTGAGGTTTTGAGATTTTTTTTTCTTTTAACATTCCATGATACATTCAACACCACAAATTCAAAGGCAGCATTTCTTCTTCAGTCTTTTTTATTCATTGTCCCACTTTAATATAAATATGAAGCACTTGAAAATACAGTAGTTTGAATAGCATATACCTTTGCCTCTGAGATTAGCCACCTGGTTTTGTGAAACAACAGTAGGGCCAGAAGAAACACACAAGGCAAGGGTTAGAATTCAACAAATTCAAGTGAAGAGCTCAAATGACTGGGCTGGTTCTGAAATTCTTTTTTAACAGGAATTCCTAATCCTTTAGAACCTGTGTTCACTAGTTAGTGAGGTAGGACTTCGAGTCAGGAGTAGAACAAATTAGTCTACGTAAATGAGAGAAAACTTGCTGGTGACTGGTGTAGCAGTTGGTGCTACAAGGCAGAGCTAGAGATGGAGGGAGGAGACACAACTGCTCTGTTTATTGTGTGAACCAAATATCAATCATAAGAGTGGTCTCTATAGGTGTCTGGGGAGTACTCAGGGAACTTATTGCTGGTGCTGAGAAGACAGAGCTTCTTTAGCAAGAATCTTCATGACTTCTATAACCACTCTGGGTGTCCCAGAAATAAGACTGCTTTGGAGAAGATTAGAGTGAGAATTGCTCATTCAGTGTTCAAATACACATCAGATACAGAGATCGGTATGAGTAGCATAGCCCAGGCCAGGAAATTACTGACATTTGTGCATTTCAATAGCATCATCAGGAGTGTTTTAGACAAACATAGACTGCTTAGACAGTTATCTACAAGTCTCCCATGCTGACCTCTGTAACAAGGTACCCACAGATCATGAAGAAGAAAAGTAAGTGTAACTCACCATTTGTTTCACAGAGTGGAGCTGAAAGAAAATACAACAGAGACCAGAAGTGAACAGCAAACCCCAAATATATGCCACATGTAGCTCAACAATCCACCCTTCTTCCCTCTTGTCCTCTCTTCTCTACCTTCCTTTCTGTTTAACTCTCTTCCTGTCTCTTTTTTTCCCCTTTCCCTTTTCATGCTTCTCCCCTTCTCTTCCATCCTTTTTGACATCTTTCCCTCTTTTACTTCCCTCCACATTCCAAATCTCCCACAAAAGTACACGTGGTTCTTTTTATATGATCATAGTGTAATTTTTCTTTTCTGTGATTCAGAAATGATGTCTTAGCTTTTAATTACTTAACAACTTCCTTCTTCAAGCCCCTCCCATCCAGAACTTCAGCACAAAAAAGTCCTCAGAAACCAGCTCAAGACTCATTATGGTAACAACCACGTCACATGAGTCTTCCAATTAATAGGGTCCCTTTCTTTACAAAGTTCAGATTAAATTCAGAGACTAGAGAAAAAGTTACGGTTTCTCCAAAGATGCTCTCAAGCATTGGACCATGACAGTTTGGTGTAATTGTAATAGAGAAGAAAAAAAATGTGGACATTTTAGGACAAGAAACCAGCTAGTATAAACTTAATATCCAGTTCTTTGTCTTACAATGTCGCTATGAGTGTAATTAACAACGTGTGTCAACAACACATGGTCAACAACAACGCCTTTACAATCATCAACAATATCTTTGTCTTACACACTGTGTTATTAAGGGGGAGATGTTTTGTAAAATTCTTTTAGATACCTAATCTCTGTATTTTCTTCTCTATAAAATGGAAATAAGTAGTAACTGCCTTACAAAGTTTTATGATAACTCAGTAAGTTCATATCTATAAAGTGTTTAGAATAGTGTCTGACATTTAGTTAGCATATAACTAGTACTTTCTACTTTCATTATTCTCTTTTAATTCATATTTAGCTTTAGATACCTAATGTTTTAAAATAAAT